GCCCCTCTGCCATTAGCCCCAACCCGAGGCCAGCCCCCTCGATGGCCCTTTCCCGTCTGTGCAGCAAAGCGATGGCTGCTCCACCGGAACCCCAGGAGAGAAGGCTGGGCTCTGCCTCCCACCAGAGCCCGGGGTGGAAAGAGCCAAAGCAGGAGCGACCGACCGACCGCCACCCGCAGGTGAGGTGGAGAAGCAGGAAACGCCCACAGTCCCTTGATGAGGACCGACGGGGGCAGGAACGCAAGTCTCGGCGAGATGCCGAGATGCCACTCAGAACACACACAGCGCGGCACTGAGCGCCGTCCTCTGTGGGTACGTGATATGCATACAAAAATGGAAGAGGCCCAGCCGAAACCGGTTGGCTCAGTGGTAGAGCGTCGGCCTGCAGACTGAAGGGTTCCGGGTTCGATTCCGGTCAAGAGCATGTACTCTGGTTGCGGGCACATCCCCGGTAGGGGGTGTGCAAGAGGCAGCTGATCGGTGTTTCTCTCTCATTGATGTTTCAGACGTTCCATCCCTCTCCCTTCCTCTCTGTAAAAAATCAATAAAATATATATTTTTTTAAAAATGGAAGAGGTCCAAAAGCTGTGCTGACACCCGGGGGCAGGGAAGGGGAACAGAATGGGGTGGTTAGGGGTCCTGCGTCTCTTCCATTTTTAATATGGGTGGGGTTCCTATTTTACCCGTGCCATCAAAGCAATTCAAAAAGCCCCACTTACTACCGAGGCCGGCCCCGGCCCCACACTGCCGCCATCCTCGCTCTGCTAACTCCACGGTGCTCACCTCTCTCCCGGTGAGTGATCCATTACAAGATTCACGGCGGGGGGGGGGGGCATGGGGGCATAAGGACACATATGTAATAAATACCTGAATCAATAAAGAAAAGTGATAAAGTTCACCAGCTAAAAGCATCGGTAGGTATTTGCCAGTAGAAGAAGCTTGGTAAACTCTAAAAAAAAATAGGTAGTCCCGCCCACTGCCTGTTTTTATGTAGCTCCAGGGCTAAGGATGGTTTCTGTTTGGTTTTGGTTTTGGTTTTTATTGTTGTTTTTTGTGGTGGTGGTTAATTCTCACCCAAGGATGTTTTTTCCATTGACTTTTGGAGAGAGTGGACGAGAGGGAGTGGGAGAGAGAGAAACATCAACGTCAGAGAGACACATCCATTGGCTGCCTCTCCCACGATCCCCGACCAGGGCCAGGGGTTGAACCTGTGACCCCTGGGTGCCCTTGGCCAATGCTCTAACCACTGATCACACTGGTCAGGGCGGTTTTGGTGTTTTTAAACCATTGAAACCCAAGAGGTGTAATATTTCATGACACGTGAAAATGATGTGGCATCCTAATGAGTCCAGAGGATTTTATTGGAACACCACCATGCCCGTTTGTCCTGAGAGAGGCTTTCTGGTGTAAAGGCAGTGCCGAGTGGCCGGAAGCCTAAAATATTTACTGTTTGTCCTTTGTCTGGGCGGTGAGCACCATGGGGTAGGTCCTCTCTCATTCGCTATGGATCCCAAGTGCCCACGGCAGCGTCGGGCACACAGTAGGTGTGCAGTGAGTCTGGCTGAAGGAGGGAAGGGAAGTGGAGGGGGTGGAGCATGTTGCTTCTGCCTCCTGGGGACAGTGAGCCCCACTCTGTCTGGCAGACGCCACCACCTGTGGGGCCTGAAGGCGGGCACACGTCTTCCCCAGCCCTGGGAGAGGCGGGGGAGGTGGGGCCGTGCTGCTTGTCCCTGGAGTGGACAATGCAGAGGGCGGGAAGCCTGGATGTGGCAGTAGGGTGGGCACCAGGCCTCTGAAAAGGTGGTATGGCCCTCGTCACAGAGGCTCCCCTCAGTGGCCCTGCACTGGCAGCCCTGCCTGCCCGGGGCCCCGCAGCTGCATGGGCTGAGTGTCTGTGCCCTCTGGTGGCTCCCCAAGGCATGCGCCGGCTTAGCCTGGCTGGCTTTCCTCCGGGAGGGGACCCTGGCCTGGCCTCCCTGGGCCGTCAACAGACCCCAGGCTCCCAGCCTGAGCTCGCCCTGTTCCTTCCTGTCCCCCTCTGGCCCTCCCTCTGAGGCAGCCAGTGTCACAGGTGCCTTCCCACCCAGCGGGATTCCCCTCCTCTGGTCGGGCCAAGCAGGCCCGGATCCTGAGCACCCCAGGCTGCCAGACGGCGGCCACCTGTCTCCTCCACGTGCAACCCCCCCCCCCCCACACACACACACACACAGAGGGTGGAAAGTCACCTTGGTCCCCATGGCCAGGGGCCTGCCTAGCGGGAAGGGCGGGGGCAGCCTCACACACCCCCTTGTTTTCTGCACGTCTGGAAAGTCCCCTCTGAGTGAGCCCTGCTCCGCGCGGGGAGGCTCTGCTGTGGGGGCGGGGACTTGTCTCAGACCAGCGTGTACGCCACCTAGCAGTGACCACGTGCTCCGCACCACGTACACACTGCGCCACCAGCATGCTCGTGCCAAGCGACTGTGAGGTGGGGCGGGGAAGGCAGGGCCAGTGCGACCTGCCCGGGGCCCTCAGCCTCCGGCGGGCGCCTGCCTGAGGGAACGGGTGGTTGAATGAGTGGATGAGTGGGTGGGTGTCCTGTGGCAGAAGTAAGCTTTGGGGAACTCTGTCAGGGTCATGCTCACTCCTGCCAGTCATTCTCACTCCATCTCACCAGTCCTATTTCCACAGAGAGCCTGTCTCCACCCTCTCCCTCCAGCTGTGCCCTCTGCCCCCACCCACCCTCACCCCTCCAGCACCCCAGGCTTCCCGTGCTGAGTTCACTCCGGCTTCAGCGCCTCTAGGGCAGCTGGTACTGAAACCAGGAACACTGTTCTGGAGCTTCCCAGAGACGGTACCCTCTCCTCCAGCCATCTCTTCAAAGGGGCCCCTTCTCCAGACACCCCAGCTGTCACTGCCTAGCCCATCCCTCTTACTTTCTCATGCGTATATTTTTTAATTGATTTCCGAGAGGGAGAGATAGAAACATCAATGATGAGAATCATTGATCGGGCCTCCTGCACGCCCCCTACTGGGAATCGAGCCCGCAACCTGGGCGTGTGCCCTTGACAGAGTCGAACCCGGACCCGTTAGTCTGCAGGCTGATGCTGGATCCACTGAGCCAAACCAGCCAGGGCCATGCATATATGGACACGAATGCTCCCTTGCCTACTTGTTCCTGTGTCTCCCCCACAAGAAGGCAGCACGGGGCCAGGAGCCTGGTCTTCTCTCCCTCCATCCCTGGCGCTTAGTGGGTGTCCGACTCATGCGTGGGGAATGACACCTACTGTCCGTTACTGGTGGCACTGAGTGTGCAGGCTTCACCCTGCGACATCAGACAGGCAGCCCGGGTCTGGGGCAAAGCTCCCGTGAGAAGGGCCAGGCCCAGTGCCTCTCCCAGCTGTGTGCTGGGCAGCTCCCCCCCATCTCTGAGCTCACGTTTCTTCAGGAAGAGCATCGCCCCCTCACACAGGGGCTGTGCAGGGTGGGAGGGGAATGAGAGTGCGAGTGTTTTTGAAATTAAAAGACACAAGACAAATGCACATGACTGAGCTGGATTTATTGTAGCGCCTGTCAGGGACCCCAGGACACAATGCCGGGGGCATGCCCACCCCTGCTCACTGGGCAGTGACTCCCAGCACCCCTGGATGGCAGGGCACAGGGGCCAGAGCTGGTCCCACACCTTCTGTTTGGCTCACAGGCTAATTTTTTTTTTTCTCATTAGTTGCCAAGAAACTTAAAACCAAAATATTTTTCGTAAAAATCCGGACCTCTGGCTTCTCCAGATTACTAACACTAGGCCTGCGTTCTCACTTTACTGCAATTAGCTGCACCTTCATGACAGCCACCAACTTTGCCATAGGCCCCACCACACCCTATTGTCTCTCAGGCCAGTTGCCATTGTCATCTTGATTGTACAAACACAGATGTGGGCAGAAGGAGGTTTGCAGTTGTTCTTGTGGAAAATAATGCAATTAATAAATAATATAAAAATAAGCTTTCGCACTCACAGCTGTAAACCTACTTTTGCCCACCCCTGTATGTATTTCTGTCACAAAGCGATGTTTCTCTGTGTCCCGTCTTCAGTAACAATGGGAAAGTCAACCTAGCATGGCAGAGGCCTCACTACCCAAAGGCCTAACTTACTCTTCTATGGTATGACCTATCCCACCCTCAGGACAACCGAGTCTGAGGTCTGGGAACCAGCCACAAAGAGCAGGCAGCCAGGGCGGGGATGGCAGCCACTCCACACACACCCCTTCATGAGGTGATAAGAGGCAGAACCGAGAACAGCCTGACTTTCCCAGTTTGCTCCTTTGGAGGCTTTCCAGTTCCCTGAACCCCGAGAGCACTAGGAAGCAGGGTGGTCTCACCAGGCACTGGTCTTCACTGGGTGATGTTGCCAGAGGAAAGCCCGATGCAGAGAATGCTGTGCTGGTGCGCCCTCTGGTGGCCATAAGGCAGCTCTTCAGGCCACCAGGAAGATTTTGAACTTTATTCCAGACAAGTGTGCCTAGGAATGTCGTCCCCCCACCTCCTCACTAGGCTCCTCACCCCCAGCTCTGGGCCTCCAGCTGCTTCCTGCCCAACACCTTCCTGATCTCCATCCACCCCTCAACAGCCTTCCTGGGCCCCCTGGCACCCGTTCCCGTCCCCAGCAGGGTCAGCCCCCCTTCCCTGGCCTCTTCAAGGCAGAGCCCGGCCTCACACCCCTGTGCTTCCCTCCAGGCTCGGCCACAGCAGTGCTGGCAGGGAACACCCCTGCAGATGCGGGGAAGGCTTCTCCCAGCCTACGGGGTCCGCAGGGCAGGGCCGAGTGACCAGAATGGGTCGGGCAGGGCTTCAGAGAACGGGGAGACGCTGCCACCAAAGAGCTGCTGCAGCCCGATGGCCTTCTTCCCGAGTAGCCGGAAAAGAAAACAGGGCAGGGTGGGTCTGGGCCAGGGCTCTGCGGCTGACAGAACCAGACTGGGGGGTGGGCTGGGGTAGGGGGAATGGTAAGCCAGTGGTTTTCAAGGTTTTGTTTATTTAAGTAGTTTGCAGCCATCATCATGTTTGATCCTGAGAGGCAAGCACAGGAGAGAGAATTCTCAGACTCACTTTAGAGTCTGAGACATTGAGGCTGAAGTGGGATCCCGGAAGGGTCAAGGTCACAGCCAAGAGAGAAAAGAGCTTGAGCTGCGTGGGGCCCGTGTCTCAGGCAACGGCAGGCCCAGCGCCCGCCCCACACCCCCATGCAGGGAGGTGTGTTCCGGCCCGCGACCGACCCCGTTCCCCGGGGAGCCTGCCCTGCAACCACACGGAGGCAGCAGCTCCTGTGCACCCCCACTTCGACACACACCCTCCATGCACACACGTCCAGAACGGGCAGAGGCATGCGGCTTCTCTGTGGGCACACAGCACACCCACACACGAGCCCCACGTGCGGCTCAGTCCAAGCAGAAAGGCCTCCTGCAGCTGTGCCCATCACGGCGCTCTGGCAGGGCCCTGGGCAGGCCAGGCGGGTAGCCGTGGCCAACGTGGCAGCCTCACCAGTTGGCCTTCACCGCCTGGATGTCACTCACGAGGTTCTGGGCCAGGCAGATGCCAAAGATCTGCTCGGAGGGAAAGCAGGTGAGGGACAGGCCGTCGACACGGGGGGGGGGGGGGGGGGGGGACGCTGGGTAAAGGAGTGGGGGCATCCTGTACCTGCAGGAGGGCAATGCCCACGAAGACCCCGGCCACGATGATCAGGTTGTCCTGCAGCCACTTCTCAAACTGGCCCACGCAGCCTTTCGTGTGGATGGAGCCCTGCTGCTCCAGCTCCTGGGGGCGGAGGTGTGGGCTCAGTCCCGACCCCACGGGCCTCATCTCAAACCCCACCCCCACCTACTCCTCCGCCCAGGGCCTAGGCCTCCGCGCCTGCTGCCTGAGCTCTGCCACAGGCCTTGGTGCGGCTGGCTCTTCTCATCATCGGGGCCTCAGCACAGACGCCCACGCTTCCGACTGCCCAGCCCCACTCCAACCCCCTTATTTCATCTTCTTCCAAGCTCTCGGCTGAAACTGTCACGTTACTGCTCACATCTCTGTATCAGTGAGCTTCCCGGCTCGCCCTCCCCTGCAGGGGGAGCTCCGTGAGAGCCGAACTCCATCTGTCTCAGGAGCACGCGTCCCGTGTCCTCGGCGCCGGCGGGCGCTCAGATCGGAATGCGCGAGTGCGCCTGTGCCCGTGCCAGCAGGTCTACTGCCCCATGCTTGGCAGCACCGAGGCCTGGATGGTTGTTGTACTCAGCACCCCTCCCCACAGATCCCTGAGGCCCTTCAGAGAAGCTTATGGGTGCCCCTCCCATCCCAGGGCCCAGCCCAGGCCCAGCCCGTCTCACCAGTTTGAGCCGGACGTCATAGCCACACTGGGTGTTGAGAACATCTTCCTGAGGAGAAACAGGCCAATGAGCCCCCTGTGAGGGGGCACCCCAGGGCCATGGCACCCAGCCCTGCAATGGTGCTTGCTTCCAGGGGAAGCAGATGGATGTGGATTTGGCAGCATCCAGAGGCTTGCCGAGGCCCGTGCGCCTCTGCCCAACGCCAGGCCGCACACAGCCGCACCTGCCAGCGTGGGCTCTCTCCTCCCAGGCATCTTGCCTGCTCGTGTCTTACAAGAATGGGGAGAACCCTGGCCCGCAGTGTCCCAGGTGAACAGAGATGTCCCTGTGAGAAGCCTCTGCTCTGAAGATAGCCTTACAGGGGTCAGAACCCCCGTCCCTGCCACCCCAGTACAGAACCCCCGTCCCTGCCACCCCAGTACGGTGGCTGATGCAGCCTGGGGGGCCTGTCACACCCATGACTGAGGGAGTAATCCAGCCCCGGTCCCCAGACAACCTGGGCCGCATCTAACTGGAAGCACAGGGTCCCTGGAGGGGGGGGGGGGGGTGAGAGGAAGGGAGGGCAGGCTGTGGCCAGGGGCCTGCAACTGCCATCTCACTATAATCAGAGACAGGCTTTGCTGAGGAGGCACAGCCCCTTCCAGCAGGCCTCCGTGCTGCCCACGGATACACACTCCCAGCCTGGAAGGGGCAGCCCCCATGGAAGGACCTCCTTCCACACCCACAGCCCTGGCGGGTTTTCCCAGGCTGGGCCTGCACTCAGCAGTGCCCGCCGCCCACCCCTCACCAGGGCCCACTCACCGCAGGGTCCCTCACGCAGCAGGAGAAGGGCACCCCGCAGCGCTCCCGGCTCGGGTTCAAGTCAGTGCAGTTGAAATAGATATTGAGGTTCCAGTCGTTGGGCCCTCGGGCTCCACAGCAAGACCACTAGAGGGGGAGCAGAGGGGGAAGACCCAGGTGAGCCGGGCCCACCCTGTTTGGGGGCAGACCCAGGCTGCAGAGAGACAGGGCGAGGCTGGGAAGGAGTGAGAGGCAGCCAGGCAGGTGGGCTCCTCCCCGCTGCCCTCCCCGCAGACAGGCCAGGGCCAGGGTCATCAGAGCAGCTCTAGGCTCCTGCTCACGCCTGTCCCCCTAACCCGAGAGTGGCTGAAAAAGGAAGGGAGCACGGCTGGAAAAGGAAGGGAGCACGGCTGGAGTGGCGCCGTTGGCTGAGCATCTAGTTTTACATGAAAGGTTGCCGGTTCTTTTCCTGTTCAGGGCACATACCTGTGTTTCAGTTCAATCCCCAGTCAGGGCACATATGGAAGGCAACCAATATCTCTCTCTCTCCCTCTCCCCCCCCCTCTCTCTCTCCTTCTCTCTCTCTCCTCAGATGAGTGAGGATCTAAAACAAATCAGGAAGGGATGGGGCAAGGATGTTGGTCCAAGAACCGAGACTTCCTGCAGGACACCCCGAGAATGGGCGCTGGGCCAAGCCCTGTGGGGAGAGGCTCCACTAAATATGTCTACGCCAGGCCCCCCCATACTCGCCCAGAGATTTGCCTCCTACAAGGGCAGGAGGGCCATCCTCCCACACTCATAACCCTCCTGTTGCACTTCATAAATGCTGCCACCAGCACCATATCCCCTTCTCCCCCACCCAGAACATCGTGGGCTGCTGCCTCCCTAGGTGAGTCAATGGCAAGTGTGGGTACAGCCTGCCTCCGCCTGCCTCCTCTCCTTCTGCCTAGCACCTGCTGCTCCTGCTGGGGAACACGCACCCCTCTCGTCAGATCCCTGATCCCTCCCTTCCTCCAACATCCCCCCCAGAGGCCTTCCCCTCTCCAACCTTCCCCATTTCAACTCCTACAATTTATAATTTTACACACACACACACACACACACACACAATTTGTTTGTTTGCTTTGCTTATGCATCCTCCATCTCTCCACCCAGACTGCCATCCCCAAGGACAGGTCCCCACTTTTTTCACCCCAGATTCCCAGCCCCCAGCCCCGGGCCTGGCACACATCAGGTCCAGGATGATGATTCCATGCTGAATGAGCAAACAAACCACATCCTAACCGCCTCGCTACCTGTCTGCCTCGCCCTGGGTTGAGAGTGCCTCAAAGCAGACACCAGCTCTGGTTCATCTCTGTGTCCCAGCACCAAATGGGTGTGACTGGGCATCACTGTGAGTGGGCGAGAACTGTAGGTGTGAGTGTCTAGGATTTCATGAACTGTTCATTCACTATTTCTTCACAGGGGTAGATGTATAAGCTTGAGAGCGGGGCTTCTGTATAGTCTCAAACTAATATGTGCAGAGGCCAAACAAGTAATATTAATGAGAGAAGAAGCCGAAACCGGTTCGGCTCAGTGGATAGAGCGTCAGCCTGCGGACTGAAAGGTCCCAGGTTCAATTCCGGTCAAGGGCATGTACCTTGGTTGCAGGCACATCCTCAGTAGGGGATGTTCAAGAGGCAGCTGATTGATGTTTCTCTCTCATTGATGTTTCTAACTCTCTATCCCTCTCTCCTCTTCTCTGTAAAAAAATCAATAAAATATATGTATTTTTTTAAATCAATAAAATATATGTATTTTTTTAAAAAGTGCTCCTGAGCTGCTAAATGAAAAAATGCAGATTATAAATAATTATTTTTTTAAAAAATGAGAGAAGACGATGGACAGGCACCATGAAATACAGGGTGTCAGGGACAGTGGCAAATAGAAAGCCCCTGTTTCAGCCCCAGCCAATCCTGTGGGCCCAGGGTTTCCTAGAAGGGGAATCTATATTTTCATTCCCACTTTAAGTGTGATATAAGCCTAGCCTTTGGAGCCTCGGGCCTCTAGTCTCCCTGCAGGACCAGGCACATGGGGATGCACAGGGGATCACCAAGGGCTGGCTTCCTCTCAGAAAGGAGCACTAACTGCTGGATCTCTGTCTGGGGCCTGCCTGGCCTGGGGAGTGAGGGGCTGGTCCCAGCACAGAGGGAACGTGCTCCCACTCATCGGTCCAGCAGGTGCCTCCTGCCGGTAGCGGGCCCGTGCTGGACGCTGGACTCACGTATTCCTGAGCAAAGTCAATGAGGTTCTGGAGGTCAATGTCGTCCCGATAGGCCTTGACGTTGTTGTTGATGAAGAGGTTGAGCTGGTCTCGTATCCAGTCCTTGAAGACGAAGACCAGGATCCCTGTCGCGAGCTCCAGGAAGAAGATGAGGCCAAGGAACACTGAAAACTGGGGGTGGGCACATGCAGATGGCGGGGGTCGGAGACGCAGGGCCTGGTGGCTGCCCAGAGCCCCCACCTTCCATCCCGTTCGTGGTGTTTGATGTGAAGACAGTGCTGGCCTTACCTACCAATCATCTCGCTTCCTCCCGTAATCACCTGTTTTGCTTTGTTTTGTTTTGTGTTTGGGAAAACACCCTTCACACCACCTTCAGTTTCTGTGGCTTGGCTGCAGTCATCACTTTTCCAGACAGAGGACTGCGCATGTGCCAACAGCTCACCAATCAGAGCGCTACCTCCCCGAGGCCACAGGGATTGGTCCAGACACAGCCAATCAGAATCAAGGAGATGTAATTAAAGAACTGGACAGTAGGCGCTCCTAGGAGGGCGGCGAGAAGCCCGTACCCACAGATCCTGGGCATCCTTCAACCCCACGGGCAATGATCTAACCTAAGGGACAGAGCCAAGAAACAGGCCAGGCCAAGTGGCACTGTGGTGGTCCCTGGACCCCCATGTGCCAGCAGCCAGCACACCCCCGGGCTTCTCTGGGTGAGCCAATAAATACCACTGGTGTTCAGTAATTTACAACAGAAAGGATCCTATAGATAGATAGATAACACGAATCTGATACTTATTGCTATAACATAATAAAACCACCCATTCTTGAGCACAAAATGCATGTAAGAAGTGGGTGGGAGAAAGTTGGGGTCCCCAGTGGGTCCAGGCGTGGGGCACTCACAAACTTGAGCAGGAAGGTGTTCTCCCGGAGGGCCCCGATGCAGCCGGCAAAACCCAGCACCGACATGATGCCTCCAACCACCACGAACAGCCACACGGGGTCCAGGCCTCCCAGATCTGTCAGCGCCGAGATGTTGGAGAGAACGCCCTGTGTCGGGGGATCAGAGGCAGGTTGGGATACGGATCACCCCCCATCATTTCGACCTGCTGCCGCCCCACGCCCTACCCCGCCTCCTCACCTTCTCACCCCAGGCCCAGAGGCCAATGGCCAGGAACAGGGCTCCCAGCACCTGCAAGAGCAGAAGCGAAGAGCTGAGAGCTGGGCACCGGCCTCCTGCTCCCCCAAACAGAGCCTCTTCCCCCAGCGCTCAGGGTCTCCAGGGGGTGAGAACAAAAGAGGGCTGAAACCGGTTTGGCTCAGTGGTAGACCATCGGTCTTCAGACTGAAAGGTCCCAGGTTCGATTTTCGATGCCGGTCAAGGGCATGTACATTGGTTGTGGGCACATCCCCGGTAGGGGGTGTGCAAAAGGCAGCTGGTCGATGTTTCTCTCTCATCAACGTTTCTAGCTCTCTATCCCTCTCTCCTCCTCTCTATAAAAAAATCAATAAAATATTTTTTTTTTTTTTTTAAAGAGAGAGAGAGAAAGGAAGAGGGCTCTAAATGGGATCCAGGGTCCTTGTCATCTTCCCAAGAACACACCTTAGTGCTTCTTCCCCACAGCATGCAGCCGGGAAGACTGAGCACGCCTGGCCTTAGAGAGGACAGCAGGACCCCTGCCTGGACCCCAGAGCGGGAACAGGGGGCGACCCGCAGCAGTGCCTGCGCCTCTGCTCCTGCCCCAGCCCACGCTGGGCTCCAGGGCTCCTGGCCTCTGCCCCTCCCAAGTCCAGCCCTCTTAAGCACAGGCCCACCACCTTTGCACCATTCCAATGTCTGTCTGCCAGAGGCCATTTTCTGCCAGGTTCTATCCTCAGAGCTCAAAACCAAAGCCCCTGCACGACCAGGAATCCAGATGCAGAGCAGGACCCGGCTGAGGGGCCCCAGCCCAGGCCAGCAGCTGCATCCTGGCAAACAGGTGGCCACAGCTCTGCCTGGGCCTTCTAACGCCACCAGCCATCCTGCCTCAGTTCCTTACTGGGAAGAGACCTGGCTGTCAGGGCCACTGGCTGACCCTGAGCAGATACCTGACCACCCATCACCTCCAGCCAAGCCCAGGGCCACGAGCCCACGCTGACCACCACTCCACCACCCCCACTCCTGCTTTCTCTTCAGGCTCCTTCCCCTCCGCACCTAGCTGGTCAACTCCATCTTTAATGCCTTCCCCCCTCTGATCCCAGGTTCCTCCCACTGCTGTCCTCTTTCTTTGGAAATGTCTTTCCTTCCCTCCCTAACCCAGGATCCGGGATGTGAAACCCAACATCTTCACTTCTCCTGCCTCAGCCCACTTGACCCACCGGCAGCCTGTAGACAGGCTTCCCAAACTCTCCGTGTTACCTCCAGGCCATTCTCCCGCCTGCCCCTTCCCAACCTCCCTCCCACCCCCTGCTCATGGCCAGGCCCGCCCCCATCAGTCCTAACCTCAGCCTTCTGCTTCTTCCCCTTCTCGCTCAGTTCCCACCCCTCCATGGCACTGCCATCTCTAGGATTGCGGCCAGGCCTCTCCCTCGCTCCAGACACGTGTTGCAAATACTTCCATGTCCCAGGCTCCGTTCCAGTGCCGGGAACACCTCACTGAATAGGACACACAGCTCTCAGCCCTCCAGAGTTTAGACTCCAGCGGGGAAACCCACAGTGAGTGAACAAGGTAATTTCCATTAAGCAGACCCTTTAAAGAAAATCAAACAGGACGACGCGGTGGGGAGTGACTAGGGGTGGGTGGGGGTGAGCTGCAGTTAGGGAAAGTGGTGACATTTCCGCTGAGGTTTACATGATAAAAGGGACAGAGAGGAGAAAAGAATCCCAGGGGGAGGCACCGGCAAGGGACCTGAGGGTCCGTCAGTTGGGCTGTGCAGGGGACACGCTGAAGGAAGCAGGGCCAGACTGCAGAGGGGCTGGCGGCCGTGGGGCAGAGTCTGGACTGCTTTCTGAGAGAAACCACTGGAGGGTTATGAATGAGCAGGGTGACGCCGGGATTTGCTTTCCATTAAAACAAAACAAAAAATCTGGACCTGTTTCAGAGGCACCTCCCTTAGGCCTCCATGACCCAAACCTGAAACCTTCCCTTTACCCTTCCCCCACGTCACCTGGTCCTGTGGATCCAGCCTTATCACTTCCCCTGGAGTTGTCTCCCGCCACCCCCCCACGGTCACCCCAACTTTACCCCAGCCCTCCTTCCTCATCTTCCCCCCTCCAACTCGTCCCTCACTCACCCTGCCCAAGGCAGCCAGGCAGACCTGCCTCAAACAAACCCATCACCAGCACTGAAGCCCTCACAGCTCCACACTGCCCTTCCTATTGTGCCCCAAGCCCAGGACCCTGAACAAGCCTGCGTGTCTCTTGTCTGCCCCCCACCCCCTCACCCCTGGCATTTGAGGTCTCCCTCTGCTCAAAGCTCGGCCTCGCCTCCAGCCACTGCATGACCCACTAGGCTGTCACCTGGGCTCTGCACTCACTGGCTGTGTGTCTCTGGGTTAAATGACTTAACCTCTCTGTGTCTGTTACCTCATACATGAAATGCAGATGATAATAAGAATACAGGAAACTATAATTCATTTGACATGCCTAACCCTGGGGGCAGGCTTCAGGACCACCCCTCCCCAGAGAGAAGGGACTTGCCCACAGTCTCACAGCTAGGCCTCCAGGGAAGTCTGCGCACATCCCACACCCTCCGAGAGCTGACACTGCTGGAGCCAAAGGACACCCCCATGCGGGTGACTGCATGGACGTGTGGGCAGAGGGCTGTGCCACTGAGTCCCACTGCACAAAGCTGAATGGGCCTGGCATTTTGACCAAGGCAGCAGAAGCAGAGACTGCAGAGGCAGCAAGCGGCCCTGGGGAGATGAGATGGGGGAGAAGGGAGCGATGACTGGGCAGGGCCCAGGGGCACAGATGTCACCCTGGGAGGGGCACCAGCAGCTCCCTTCTCAGGCCAGGGGCAGCCCCACCCCGAGCCTCGGTTTGGTCAGCTCTGGAATGTAGAATTCTGTTCCCCAGGGCCAGCTCCCAGCCACTCAATAGGAAGATCCTCCCCAGGACTCTATTGGCCCTTCCTCGGAAAACCTCCGGTAAGGGGCAGGGGTGAAGGCTCTGACCCAGCCCCCTTTGCCAGAGCTGAAGGGGAGGTACCAGGCCAGGTGCTGGGGGGGAGAGGGGGGAAGAGGAGCAAGGGGGCAGGAAATGAGACTCTGCCCTTCCCTGCTCTGCAGACTCTTCCCTAAATCAGAGGTGGGGCTCAGCGTGCACCCCACACCCCAGGGTGTGGAAGTGAGCTGGGCAGGAGGGAGGGCCACTCGGACCACACAGTCCCTGCCTGAGGTCTTCAAGAAAGCACTGCCCCCTCTCCGCCAGCCCAGAAGGCTCCCGGCCCCCACACCGCCGGGACCGCCCCCTGCAATCAGGGCTTCCCCAGTTCCCTCCGGCGCTCTCGGGGGCAGGCGGGCGGGCAGCGAGGAGCGGGGAGGCCGTCCTGAGCCCTGGGGCAGGGAGGGGTCTCCCCTCCGTAGAAGACTGAACCTCCCCCCGCCACCCCCACCCCGCGCTCACCCAGAAGACAATGTTGAAGCCAAACAGGAAGTATTTCCCGCAGCAGCCGACCCCGGGTTCCTGGAAGTGCTGGTGCTTGCCGGGCATGGTGAGCGCGCCGCCGGCCGCGACCCGGAGCCCGGAGCCGGGGACGGGCCCAGCCCCCCCGTGGGCAGCCCTGGCTGGAGCCGCCCGGGGCCTAGCCCGGCGGCTGTGGCTTCATGGCCAAGGCCACCCCGAGCGCCCGCCGGGCCCCGCCCGCCCCGCAGGGACCGCCCCCGGCGCCGGGACCGCCCTGCTGGGAGCGCTGGTACCCTCAGCCCCGCGGCCGCCTGGCTCCGCCCCGCCTGGCTCCGCCTCCTGATTGGCTCCGCCTCCTGATTGGCTCCGCCCCTCCTGGTTCCGCCCCTTTTGTTGGCTCCGCCCCCTGATTGGCTCCGCCCCGTCCCAGTCCTCTCCGAGTCCCGCTCCGCCTGGCCCAGGCTCAGACACCTCCCCCTTACCTCTGCTCTCTCCCCCGCCCTCTCCCTCTCCCCTCTCCCCCCGGCTTGGCTGCTCACGCCCTCAGCCGCAGCAGAGAGCGCGGGCTCCTTCAGTCCCCTCCTGAGATGTTCGATGATGGCAGCACAAGCCGCGGGCAGGAAGGACCCACAGTCACCCCCACCCCGCAGGGCCAGTTCCCGCGCCCCCCAACCCCCGGCCTTGCTGCGGGTGCTCATCTTGGAGAGAAGTCACTCCTGCGCTGGTGAGCAGATGGCGATGGAGACTCGGCTGGAGTTCTCGACGCCAGTCGTGCAGGGCGTTTAGGACAGGGAGTCCGATCTGACACACGTCCGCCCACCGGAGTGTTAGCCCTACCTCCCCTGGCTCGCACGCGGCTGGACCGCACCCAGGTCCCATGAATAGGGAGTCGGCTGGTCGCTGGTCCTTTAGTTTTTCTGGGGGCGTACACCCCACCCCCTGGCTCAGACCCTTTTGGTGCTTGGAACCCCAGTCTTATCCCTCTTCCCAGCCCAGCATGGGCTCCTTGGTGAGTCTCCCACGAGCGCCTTCCAGGGAGGACTGGAGCAGACCGAGGTTTGGGAGGGACTGGATCATAATGTTAGAGCCCTCCTTTAAAAAAAAAAAAAATCATTCCACTTTTGCTCAAAGGAGTGCATTTATTTAGAATAGGAACAGAAAGGAGCTTGAGCTCCATCAAGTTTATCCACCTCGAGGAGCAGAACGCAGTGAGGTCTGACAGACCAGCCTCCTCCTCTCGTGGGCGGGGCCTCACCCACCCATCTTCACTTCACCTCTGTCCTGAGCCAGGGAAGGCCCAAACCCCCTGGCCACAGGAAAGGGAGAGCAAAAGGGAGCTGTCTCCCTCCTCAGCTCCCTCCGCGAGATGAGGGGGTTCTGCCTCTAAGCCTCCAGCCTCTGGAGTGAGGGGACAGCCCTACTCCAAAGAAGAGGATGGTCTAGGAGGGGCTTCAAGCCCACAAATCTGATGGGAGAAAGTCCACCAAGGTTTCCCAGCACGGCGATCCCCAGTGGTGCCAGCTCAGAGGGCAGTAGGCTTGAGCTTCTCCCCTAGAACAGAAGGTCTCCCTAGCCCCCTTTCCAGGTAGGCACAGGGTCAGTACTGGGTCACAGACTGCTCCTGTCCTCTTTCCACTTTCGGTTGGGCCCTTCTTCCCAGTAACTCACCCACCCCACCTCTGGGCGACACAAGGATACCCAGGGATTCCTGCCTCCTTTCCACTGCCCTGGTCCTCAGCCTGCCCTCCACCACCTCCACCCACAGAGCAGCCCCTGGGCCCGGGTCCCAACGCATGTTAAAGCATGTTCATATTAACTCCCCAACAGGTGAGAACCAGCCCTCTGCCTTCGCCCCCGGTCCTGCCACGACACATATGCATGCAGCAGTGAGAGCTCAGGGGTGGCTGAATGGAGAGAGGTGCCTCGGCCCTCTCACACCACAAACTTGTTCTTGGCCAGGATGTTGCTCTTAGTAGCTGTGTCTGCGTGGGCCTGGTACCCAATGATGGTCTTTGTCGAGAGTCCCAAGCGCTCTTTGTAGACCCGCCTGGGATGGGAATGGGGGAAAGTGGGAGAGGAGACGAGGCAGGCAGTCAGCAGCAGCCCTGGAGATAAGCTGGTCCTCTGCCCACAGCCTCTACCCTGGTTCCAGCCACAGACACTCCCATTTTGGGTGCTTTAGTCACATGGAAACCCAAAATAAGACTAATGCAAAGGAAGAGTTCTGCTAGAAAGAGTTTGGCATCTAGGTTCCCAAACGCTTAACACGGGTGGGTAAGGCAGAAGGGGTAAAAGGCAGGGAGCGTTCCAGAGGTCTCCCTTGTAGGCCAAGTCCTCACCCACACGTTACTTTCTCCCCTAAAAGAGGCCCAGTCCCCCCACCCCCATTCCAGCACCCTCACCCGATGGAGAGCACGCCCGTCTGGTTCTCTGCCTCCCGTGTCCACACTGCGATCTTGTCCCCCTTGGCTCGGATGTTGATGACCGCCCCGCACACCTCCTGGCTGTACTCTTCGAAGCTCTCCCCAATGAGGCACAGCAGCTGAGGCCAAATTGGGGTGGGGGGGTGATGAGGCCTCCAGCTGTGGCACAGGGACTGCACCCACCATCCTTGAGACAACAGGTACCATACCAGCCCTTCCCCCTATTTTGGGGGACCCTCCCCCCCAGCCCCTCCACTCACTGTCTCCAACCACAGGCGGTCCAGCTCAGTGTGGCGCTGCTGTTTGGCAAGGCTGACCAGCCAGCGGCCACCCCGCTTGTTCCTGGCATCTTCCCACATGGGCTCGATGCCATCCTGGGAGTCCAGATGGCAAGTCAACTGCCTCCCTCTGTTCAAAGGGAAGTGGGGGCCCAGCCACCTCCCCCAGTCCTGCCCCTGCCCCGCAGGAGGTCTCCACAGGCTAGGTTCTGTCACGCCTCCATCCCCTCTGTTCAGGCAAGTGCCACCACCAGCCATTCAACCCCCCGAGCCTTCTCCTTCGAGCTCCCCCAGGCTCGAGGGTCCTAACGTGTGTCATCTTTTATAGCCTTGCACGTGTGTGTGCCTGTCTCCTTTCCTGAACTGAGCTCTTGAAGACGGGAGTTCAAATGGGGGTGATTCACAGAGCCTCTGGGCCATGCCCCACATCCCAAGCTCAGCTGAGCACAAGGTCACCTGGGAAATCTTGAAACACTGATGCCAGGGTCCCACCACACACATCTGCTGGGTGGGCAGCTCCAGGGTTTAGCCTGGACCTTGACGATCAGTGCCCGTGACCAATGCTGACGCCTATTCCTAGTTAAAGAGCCAGGCCAGAAACCCGGGCTCCGTCTTTGTATCCCCATTTCCAGACTCTTCAATGGTCTTCAAGGCACAGCGCAGGGCTGACATTCTGTCCCAGCTCCTCTACAGCATCTCCTCCTCCTGGCTCTGACGGAGGCTGTCCTCAGACTCCACCCCGCACCCCCTGGGAGGGAGCAGTCCTGGGGAGAATCCACCCCCTGTGCCTGGAGGCAGGGAGGCAGAGCTTACCTTGAACACTGCATAGTCACAGCCGGAAGAGAGCTTACTGGCCAGCTGGATGTGACTGTAAATCCTAGAGAGAGTCCCCGGCCCCAGGCTGAGTGTCCAGGCTTCTTAAGGGCCTGGTTCCAGCTGAACTCAGCCCCTCGCCTTCTCACCAGACCTCACCCTGCTTCCCACCAACCTGCCAACCTCCAAGCCTTTGCTCACCCTGGTGCTCCGGCCTGGAATTCCATCCGTACTCACCCTCACCTTCAAACCCCACGTCCACCCTGGCCTCCCCTGACCACCCATGCCCAGTGCCGCATTTGTTGTCAGTGCCCCTCCGGCTGAAGCCCAGGCCTTCGCCCCGACCCTTAGGCTTATAACAGCCCCTTCCCGGTCCCCTCACTTGGCTCTCATAGACACTCTGCGGCAGCCTAATCCTCACTGTGTGGTTGAGACAAGCTCTGAGAGGGAGGGAACTTGCCCAGGGCCACGAATCATGAAGCAGCAGAGTCAGGGTCAGCCCCTTGCTTTCTCCCACACCGCAGGCTTTCTCCCTAAACCTCAAGGTTTCCCCAGGCCTGTGCCCCCTGAAGAATCCACTAAGCCCAGCCCCACTAACGCGGCCAGGCCCCAGGGAGAACTGGAGGAGCTGTGTGGAAAGCAGCCCCCAGAGGGCTGGGGTCTGGGAAGGATCCTGAGCTCAGGGTCCCCCGGCCCCAGCCTTTTCCGTAAAGGGCAGGCAACACTCACGCCCAGAAGTCCTCCACGGTGTCAAACTTGGTGACCAGTTGCAGGTTATCCTGCCAGGCCCGGCTGCGGTCATTCTTGAAGAACCACAGGGCCCACCTGGAAGCAGAGAGCCCTTGTGCCCTCCCTGGCAGCAGCTGGGCTAGCAGGGAAGTTTCACCCTTTTAAGGACAAACTGGGGGACATTTGGGGTGCAGACCTCCCCCTCCAAGGTGTCTGGAGTCAGTTACCCTGGTGGGGCAGAGGGCCGAGGAGAAGTGGAGGCGCTTAACTCAGAGTCCCAGTGGGGTTAAGGCTGGAAGGAACACAGGGCCCACGTCTTAGGCCAGCTCTGGCCTTGCCCTTGAGAACCGGGGCTGAGGGAGGAAGGGGTTGTCCAGAGCCGACCCTACCTGTTCTGCAGAAGGTGCAACTGCTGTGTGGCCTCCCCTGGGCCCGCACTGCGGGCCTTCCCCCGCAGGGACAGCAGAGTCGAGGGAGAGTTTGGAGCCTCCTCTCTCATGGATGCTCCTGCCGCTGCTATCGCCGCTGCCGCCGCCTCTCCTTCTCCTTCACCCTCGGCCTCTCTGACCTGACGAGAAAGGAGCCAGGGTGAGCCGTGAATTCTGGCCCTGGCGGCCCAGGCTGCAGGAGGGGCAGCAGGTGGGCTTACAAGGCTGCTGGTAGCCATGCTGAAGCAGTTTGGGCTCCTCCACACAACATCCCAGAGGGACCCCCAGCTGCCAGCTTTTAACCCATCAGCATGCCCTGCCCCTGAGTGCTCAGGGCAGGGGAAGGGGTGGAGCCAGCAAGGAGCTGCTCAGAGGGAGGGGGGCTTATACTATTCCGTCTGCCAACAGCCTTTAGC